TTTTGGTCTCTCGCTCATCTGCGTCCACACATGTTCCAAAGCAGTTTGGCGAGTTAGGTTGCCAGATGTAAGGGGTGATGTGGTCGCAGAAATTGTCTGACGGCCATGACTGGGTTTTCCTGCTTGTGTGGCCTGGTGAAGATTCCTGTTGCCAAACATGGGGGGGGGTCTTCCAGCAGCCACCCTCTTGACCCAGGGCAGCACTACCTCCTCAAGGTACATGACGTAGGCTTCCGCGTTGAGTCTGAGTCACTGTGGGAAGATGAATGGAGGCATAACGTCGCCATTACGAGTGATCCCTCCAAGCAACATGATGTTGGCTGGATATTTATTCTTCATCACTCTCGGTACATCTTTTGGCGACACAGCATCCTCTGCACTGTTCAGAGACCGACACCCGAACACTCTGAAATGTTCGTATTGGCGCATCCGGCGCGAATGCCAAGAAGTACAGCATGCCGTTTCCAAATTACTGGCGAAGTGAATTGCATCATGCTGCTCTTTTTCTCACAGACGGTGTCCAACTGATCCTACATATGCATCTGCAGTTGGCAAAATTAAAAACAGCGTGCATACAAGATATGAAAAATATAAAATTGCGACAATTTATCCATCGCACCATCTGTGTGCATGTGTGTGTATATATATATATATATATATATATATATATATATATATATATATATAGAGAGAGAGAGAGAGAGATAGATAGATAGATAGATAGAAACAAAAGAAATGTGAAGAAGGAGTGAAAGATGAAGTAAGTGACAGGGCAATGCAGAAAATTACAAAGTTATCAGGTAAAGGCGTTAAGAGAGGACGGCATTTCAGCGTTAAGTGAATACGAAGTGAATGAATCATAGAAAATAACAGCGTCAAAATACATTAGAAATGTCAGACATTTTTTTTCTTTTTTGCTTTTACCCTCTTTTGCCCTCAGAAGAATTAATGTTGTCCATACAGAATGAGAAATTTTTGCATCTGCGCATGCGCACACACCTTCTTCGGCTTTATGTTTGCGCACGCGCACGATGACATTTTATAAATGCAGGAAAAAACATTTGGCATGAATGAGTAAAAATACATTTTTCTTTGTTTATAAATGGGCAAATATTGAACAGGTGCGCTAGTTTAAATGAATACATCTGCATATGACATCCAGTTTACGCTTTAACCGTATACTGCGTCTATTCATGCATATATATATATATATATATATATATATATATATATATATATGACATGAATAGATTTATTTAAAAAAAAAAAAATCAGCTTATCTGATGATCGCAATAGCGTGAAACCTAGGGTTACACATTCATATCCATACATTTGAGTATATATATATATATATATATATATATATATATATATATATAATTTCGCCCCAAGCAAGGCGGTGATGCCACTAGAACACAGGAGATTACAGAGATTGAAAATGAAAGCGAATAAGACTGAGCAGGATTGAGGAAAGGACAACAAAACGAATAGGCTTCAAGAAGACATAAGATGACTATTGTCGTTGCATTTAAATTTTTTAAAGATTGTAGTTAACAGGGAAGCAGGTAATCGGAAGGGAGTTCCACAGTTGGGAAGTGTGACAAAAGAAACTGTTAGAGTAGAAGTGGCGCTTCTCATCAGTGAAGTTGCCATGAAAATGTTTGCATAAATGGCAGAAGGAAGCCACGTCAAGTCGGTGAGAATGTGTCTAAAGTTAAGATGCCTGGTCAGGATCGATCACATTACAGACATTTGGGATTTTGTCAAGTATTTTGAGCTGTACGGCAGGAGCTACCCCCCCCCACACGCAAGCACAAACACACATGTATATGTCATCTAAAAATTTGCTATATTCATGTGTGAAATGTCCTCCATATTGGGGAAGTGGGAGTTGAGTAGATCCAATACAACGTGTTGACGGGCAGTTTTTATTTCTATATCTTCACTGTTTATATACGGCCGGCTACTCACGTTTTCCGAGCACATTCGTCTCCTCGTTGTAGTTAGTCCCTGTCGCAGACACCTGCTCAGATACATTTTGTGTTTGTTCAACACCCACAGAGGACACCTGTGGTTTGTATTGCAACTGTGCTGAGCAGACCTTAGTTACAGTTTCCGGTAGTGAGCTCATTATCTGTCATGATCAGCGGTACGCTCAAACCCTCAAACGACTTTGTGACTTCGGGCTAGGACAACCATCGTCGGCGACCACCTAGTAGTTTCGTCTTGATTCAAGTCGTGGTATGGATTTCAGGCACTTTTCAAAGGTAGTGTATGTTAAGATCGCCCCCCCCCCACTCCCAGGGCGTTAACATTAAGAAGTCACCTTCCTAGCAAAGTGAAATTTCGAACTCGGGTCTCGTGACCGGAAAACGAACATTCTAATGACAGGACCACGCGCATATAACACTATTTTCTCTCGTGGCTTCGTACTGAGTCTCTGTGGACGCAATAGCTTACATTACACTTCTGAATGACCAAATATACTACTGCTGAAAGCCTATTGGTCAAATATTGAAACCTCTTATTAAGAGCGCGAATTAAGTAAATCGAAACAGTGTTTAACAATGCTGTTTAACAATGTTCAACAATGTTTCGAAAGTATTCTTCAAGTTATGTTTAAAAAAATAAAAAATCTAGAAAAAATTAAAAGTGTTTGTACAAACGTCACTTGTCTTGATAAAAATAGTTGTACTAGTAATCAATGCGTAAAAGCGAATGAAACGCAGCCAGTATGAATGGAATACAAGTGACTTACATGATGATGATCGAGCTCATTTTGAAACTTTCCGTTAGCTTGGCCGCTATAGGGGAATCACTATTTTCGGCTATACCGGCGTGACGGCTCTCGTCACAACAGGCGCCTATTCGTTGCTGCTCGCAATAAATGTAAGCGAGTCATCGAAGGAGCAAACTCCCTGTTTGCCAAGAGAATGAGTCACCGCAGAGCCTCTAACAACTCTGGTACTCGCGATTACTGGCGGTTCTGGCATTAAATAAGGGTAAGGTCTCTATTTCTTCCCTTTTCTATCAGTTGAGCTTTGTCGTCCTATGACGACAAAGCTGAATGCGTTGCCCGTAAATTCTCCTCAAACTCTACTCTTGACTCATCCAGAATATCCCTGTCTAATTTCACTCCTAGGACTGAGTTTTTGTTAAAGCCCCTTCTATGGTTTCTATCATTTCTAACCTAGGTCCTCATAAAGCATGTTGACCCAACGGTATCCATGTAATAGTCATTAAGAAGTGTGCTCCTGAACTGGCTCCTGTTCTCTCTAAACTGTATAATAAATGCCTCACTGCCTCTTGCTTTCCTCCCCGCTGGAAGTCATCATCTGTTGTTATCAATTTGTAAGAAATCTGGTGAGCCGTCCGGCCCTTCCAACTATCGGCCTATTAGACTTCTACCTCTTTTGGGGAAACACCTAGAAGCCCTAATCAATGCTAAAATTGGTTCATCATCACTCATTGCCAGGCCATTTCTCGGACAAGCAATATGGCTTTTCTTTTTCCAGGTCAACTGTTGAAGTACTGATGATAATTCCGGAAAGAGTCTATCATGCACTAGTTAAAAACGGTGAAGCTCGAGGTGTAGCTTTTGACATCTCGAAAGCCTTTGACAGGGTCTGGTATTCAGCTCTTCTCCACAAGCTGAAAAGTTACGGTGTCTACGGACACTTTTTTTGAACTGATCCAGTCTTTCCTATCAAATCGTGAAATTAAAGTTATCCTGAATGGCCACTCGTCTAGATCATTTCGTACTAATGCGGGCATCCCCAGGGCTCCATCTTTAGTTCTACTCTGTTTTTAATTTTCATTAATGACCTTTCTGATGACATCATCTCTCAGCTTGGTATCTATGCTGATGACACAACAATTTACTCCTGCCTCGATAGTAAGGCTGATCAGTCCGACAATGTCATAATGGCAGCCGATGTCGTTAAAAAAGATGGCTTGTTAATTCTAACTTCTCCAAAACTAAACTTTTCTCCATCAATCATCTAGGAAACCCCTCGATACCTTCCATCAACATGGCTGATGCTAACTTCCAGGAAAGTGACCCTCTTGGGTTAACGTTCTGAGTTGACTTGAAGTGGAAGGACTATATTGAATCCAATTTTAGGTCTGCTGCTAAGAAAATAGGTTCATTGTATCGTGTTTCTCTCCTGAATCTATCTTACATATCTATAAGTCTGCCATTCGCCCAATTCTTAGACTACTGCTGCTATATATGAACCAGTGTCCCTGCGATTTACCTTGAGCTCCTCGATAAGATCCAAAGAAGAATCAGCAATATTATTGATCCTGATCTGGCAGCTCAGCTTCAGTCACTTTCCCACCACCATAAGGTTACCTCTCTATTTCTTTTCTATAAATACTTTCATGGTAATTGTTCGGATTAGCGTTTAGCTATGTTACCTAGAGTTTTTGAATTTAAGCACCGTACTAGACTGGCGTCGAGATCTCATCAATTTACATTTAAGCTTGCTTGATGGAGCTGTAAATACTATGCTAAGAGTTTCTTCTCTCGCACTTCCCGCTTCTTCTAGCTCCATGCTTTCCAACCAACTTTAATCTGTAAAAAATTAAATGTAATTTTAACGGCTATCTACTACCCTTCTGTTTACGCTTTTCTTTTTTTGCTCATCATTAATGTTTCTCTTCCTGATTCTTCCACACTATGTAACCCCTGATGTTTTAGTGGTATTACTGCTTTGCTTGGGGTGATACCGATTTTAAAAAGTTAATTAGTTACTCTCCTGTCATTTTGTTAATTTCCGCAGAGTGGGATGTTTATAGTTTACATACATAACTATCCTCGTGTGTTTTAAGGACCGATAGTTCGGTGGATTCTGGATATTTTTTCTGAATGAACACCTTAAGATGTTTTTTGAATTTAAAGTTTATTATTATTTGTTATGGGGTCCACCCCTTTTTCATATAAGTGGACTCTACCAGTGTACCTGGACTGCTGCCGTTAAATACCCAGAGTTAGACAGTCAGGGTAGGGTAAAGAGAGAGAGAGAGAGAGAGAGAGAGAGAGAGAGAGAGAGAGAGAGAGAGAGAGAGAGAGTGAATATTACGAACGGAGATAGTGTGAGGTAGCCTCTTGTAGAAGTCAGTTAAAAGCACGTAGACTCTAAGGAAGTCCTACTTCGAGATTGTATATATCTATCTGTATTTGCTACTAACCGTGTTCCTGGATTTACTAACGGTATTACCCTTTGTGTGATTGTGTAAATACATTTTATTTCTTATATTTAATTATTGCGTTTGTCATTCCTTGGAGACAGAATTCATCTCGGAATCCACAACATTATTATTATTATTATTTGTACCAAAATTTATTGACGTTTTATTACGAAATAATTGATATTAGGTTTATTTGGGAAGGCCAAAAACCTTTCTCGGTCTACTGAGCGACTTCATTTGTTTCTGTGTTTTATGTGTTGTGTTCATTGTATTTTTTTCTTGAATTCTTATGTATTCTTTCTTCTCTGGAAATGGCTTCGGGACCATTTCCATAGACTTCAGGCATTGCAATTATCATTGTGTCTTCAATATTCTATAATTTTTGAAACTCTTGAAGAAAGTCCTTTTCTGTAATTTTTTAAACTTTCCTTTCAAGATCTGAGCCATCAAAATGGCCATACTTCTTGTATCGTTCACTATCCTTTCTTTGCCGTCATCATCATTGTCGTCATCATCATTATCATTATCATCACCATCAGCAGCGTGATTATTATTTTATCGTAATTTTTCTTGAAGCTCCAACATGGCCTGAGAGAAAGGGGGAAAGGAAGAGGGGAAAGAGAGATAGAGAGGAACAGAAAGAGAGAGGGAAAGTGTATGTGTGAGAGAGAAAGAGAAAGGAAAGTCTGTGTGTGTGTGTGTGTGTGAGCGAGAGAAAAGAAAAAATAAACTATGTCTGACTGTCATACAAATATTTTCATCATTTCGAGTATTCTTTGATTTTTTTTTTCGCAGACATGTTTTTTTCTTGTTATTCAGCTCGTTATCCACACCTTGACCTTTCTGACTCCTGCTAAGAAGACGACAAGAATAATTTTTTTTTCTTGCTTCTTTCAGAGACGCCATCAGCATTTTCTTTGCCAGGTCTCTCGGAGATAGTCATCGTGTAACCTTGACAGGACAAACGTTCAAAGTAAGAGTGTACAAAATACATAAACAGAAGCCAAAAAATTGAAAATAGATGTAAGAGTGATAGAGTAGAAGTATTAGAGCGAGGAGATATAAAGAAAAATAATGGAAGAAAGAGAGGAAAGGTGAATGCTGAAAGAAAAATAGAGACGACGTTGATTTTAAACACACACACACACACACACACACACACACAGAGAGAGAGAGAGAGAGAGAGAGAGAGAGAGAGAGAGAGAGAGAGCACAAACTGAGAGTCGTGAGTTTAGAAAAACTGCAAGAGAAGAAGTAGCAATATTAGAAAGCATAAGAGATAAAGAGAGACTAAGGAAGATATAAGGGGGAGTGGATAGAAAGAAAGAAAACACATGAAAGAAAGAGAAAAGGGCTGAAAGAAAGGAGGAGAAAAAAATGAGGCAGCATGAGATAAGAGAGAAATTAATAGTTGTTAAGAGAGGGGTGAAACTGAGAGAATGAAAAAGAAAGAAAGAGTTTGACAGGCTTTAAGAGCGGAATGAAGGAAAGAGAAAAAAGTGAAAGAACAAAGAGTTATTGGGTGGAAAGAAAGAATGTGTGTGTGTGTGAGAGAGAGAGAGAGAGAGAGAGAGAGAGAGAAAAGAGTGATAGAGAGAGAGACAAAGAAAGAAGAAAAGAAAGATAGACTACATTATGTTGAGGTTGGAAAATTAAAGAGATAACGGGGAAGAAAGAAATTGAGAGGCTATAACAGTGGAGAAAAGAGAGATTGGGAAACATTAGGAGTGGAAAGAAAGAAAGAAAGAAAGAAAGAAAGAAAGAAAGAAAGAAAGGTAGAAATTAGAAAATCAAAGCTCAAGTAAGATTTTTAGATGATATAAACTTTTTCGAAAGAATATTTAGAAAATCGATTAAGAGACGTTATAAGCCGAAACAAAGGAGAAAGGAGTGAGGAAAAAGAAAGAAAGAGAAAGAGAGATTAAAAAGCATTAAGAGTGAAAAAAAGAAAAAAAAAAAAACGAGAGAGAAAAAAAGAAAAAACATAGCAAAGAGAAATATTGATTAATTCATCCATTTTTTACGGCTTATCAACCGTTTGCAGGTTTTTTAAAGCTAGAAAATTGTCTTTCTTGTTTGTAAGATTTGTGGGGAATAATAATGATTTAGTGATACAAGTCTTACTAATTAACCCATAGCTTGAGGGAGAACAGGTGAATTTATACCTTTCCCAACGGTATTTACATGTATGTGAATATAACAAACCCAAAAGGAATTAGAACTTGTCTCTCCAATTTCCTATTCCGAGCCGTTGTCCATTACACCACCCGCACATCCAAGATTACAACACCTGGTAAAATGTTTATGCACTTCATCTGAGATTATGGCGGTTTTCTAAGCGTAGCTGAGATGTGGTACAAAGCTGAAAGAATAGGGCACCCAGTGAGGATTGAACACAACGTGAATTGGAACTCAGCTCTCAAATTATTAAACACTCCATACGCAAATACAAAATTACAGCACCCAGTGTTCCCAAGCGGTCACCCATCTAGGTACTGACCAGGCTCGACGTTGCTTAACTTAGGTGATCGTGCGGGAACCGGTGTTTCAACGTGATATGGTCGTAAGCACAGAAAGAAAGAAATGGAGCTTAAAGCGTTAAAAGCAGAGACTAAGAAAAGGAGATTTAGAGACATTAAGAGTGAAAAGAAAGCAAAAAAGAAAGAAAGAGAGAAAAAAGAGAGACATAGAGAAATTAAAAGGCATCAAGAGTAGAAAGAAAGAGGAGGAGAAAAAAGAGTGAAGGAAATAGCAAAAGGAGTAGAGAGAGATTAAGAGATATTGAGAATGAATCTAATGTTTGACGAGACTCGGGTATAGACGCGGACTAATGTTTGATTACAGACTCGGGTATAGACGCGGACTAATGTTTGACTACAGACTCGGGTATAGACTTAGACTAATGTTTGACTACAGACTCGGGTATAGACGCGGACTAATGATTGACTACATACTCGGGTATAGACCTGGACTAATGTTTGACTACATACTCGGGTATAGACGTGGACTAATGTTTGACTACAGACTCGGGTATAGACGCGGACTAATGTTTGACTACTTACTCGGGTATAGACGCGGACTAATGTTTGACTACAGACTCGGGTATAGACGTGGGCTAATGTTTGACTACAGACTCGGGTATAGACGCGGACTAATGTTTGACTACATACTCGGGTATAGACGCGGACTAATGATTGACTACAGACTCGGGTATAGACCTGGACTAATGTTTGACTACATACTCGGGTATAGACGTGGACTAATGTTTGACTACAGACTCGGGTACAGACGCGGACTAATGTTTGACTACATACTCGGGTTTAGACGCGGACTAATGTTTGACTACAGACTCGGGTATAGACCTGGACTAATGTTTGACTAGAGACTCGGGTATAGAGGCGGACGAATGTTTGACTACATACTCGGGTATAGACGTGGACTAATGTTTGACTACAGACTCGGGTATGGACCTGGACTAATGTTTGACTACAGACTCGGGTATAGACCTGGACTAATGTTTGTCTACAGACTCGGGTATAGACCTGGACTAATGTTTGACTACAGACTCGGGTATAGACCTGGACTAATGTTTGACTACAGGCTCGGGTAAAGACGCGGACTAATGTTTGACTACAGACTCGGGTATAGACCTGGACTAATGTTAGACTACATACTCGGGTATAGACGTGGACTAATGTTTGACTACAGACTCGGGTATAGACGCGGATTAATGTTTGACTACATACACGGGTATAGACGCGGACTAATGTTTGACTACAGACTCGGGTATAGACCTGGACTAATGTTTGACTACAGACTCGGGTATAGACCTGGACTAATGTTTGACTACAGACTCGGGTATAGACGTGGACTAATGATTGACTACAGACTCGGGTATAGACGCGGACTAATGTTTGACTACATACTCGGGTATAGACGCGTACTAATGTTTGACTACAGACTCGGGTATAGACGCAGACTAATGTTTGACTACAGACTTGGGTATAGACGTGGACTAATGTTTGACTACAGACTCGGGTATAGACCTGGACTAATGTTTGACTACAGACTCAGGTATAGACCTGGACTAATGTTTGACTACAGACTCGCGTATAGACCTGGACTAATGTTTGACTACAGACTCAGGTATAGACCTGGACTAATGTTTGACTACAGACTCGGGTATAGACCTGGACTAATGTTTGACTACAGACTCGGGTATAGACCTGGACTAATGTTTGACTACATACTCGGGTATAGACGCGGACTAATGTTTGACTACAGACTCGGGTATAGACGCGGACTAATGTTTGACTACAGACTCGGGTATAGACGCGGACTAATGATTGACTACAGACTCGGGTATAGACGTGGACTAATGTTTGACTACAGACTCGGGTATAGACCTGGACTAATGTTTGACTACAGACTCGGGTATAGACGTGGACTAATGTTTGACTACAGACTCGCGTATAGACCTGGACTAATGTTTGACTACAGACTCGGGTACAGACCTGGACTAATGTTTGACTACAGACTCGGGTATAGACGCGGACTAATGTTTGACTACATACTCGGGTATAGACCCAACTATTTCTTAACAGACTCAGATATAGACCCTACTAATGATCAACTACAGATTCAGGTATATAAGAGAAGAAGATAGAAAAAATAAAGGGAACAAAGAGATTGAAGAACTGAAAGAGAAGAAAATATAATTGAAAAGATCAAGTAGGCATTTTAGAAGATATTAGAAGAGTATTTAGATGATAGAAACAAAAAGAAAAAGGGAGAGATAGAGAAAACAAGATAGAAGGAGAGAGAAAGAACAAAAGAGTGAAAGAATGGACAGAAAGAAAGAAAAAGAGGACAAAGAAAGAAAAGAAAGAACAAAGAGAGAAAGAACAAATAAAAGAAAGAGGAGTTAGAAAAAAGAAATAAATTAAGCGATATTGAGAAAGGAAAGAAAGAGAGGAAAAAGATAGGAAAAGATAGATATAGAGAAAGAAAATATACAAAGGAGAGGGAGAGAAAAAAGAAAGAAAGATAGAGAGGAAGAAAGAGAGAGATTAAGAAGCACTAAAAATGGAAAAAAAGAGGAATTTTAGAAGAGTATTTAGAAGATAGATTAACATGCAACAGAAATAAAGGAATAAACGATACTGAAATTGGAATGAAAGAAAGAAGGAAAAGAAAAAAGGAGGTGGAAAAGATAGAAAGGAGAAAAAAAAAAAGAAAATATAGGAATATAAAGAGAGAGGGGGAGAAAGAAAAAAAAAAAAAAAGAAAGAATACCAAACATTTCTGAGTATTTATCTATTGAAAGGATGATTAATGGTTATATAACCAAAATTGTTATACATACATACATACATACATACATACATACATATATATAAATATATATATAAAAATATATGGTTTCATTCTGTCTTTTCTTGTTAACCTGATGGGTTTTGAAAAATTTATAAATAAATTAATTTTAATTTATAATGTGAAATTATCATCATCTATAATTCCTATAGTTTGTAATATATATATATATATATATATATATATATATATAAATATATATAAACTGTTTTATATATTGTTTACTTGATCTCCAGAAATAAGAAACTGTTGGAAATAAAGAGTTTTAATTTGTTTAATGAGTTTTCACTTTGATATCACGTGTTTTATAAGCAGCTTTTACTACTACTAAAAAGATACCATAGTACTACTACTACTACTACATATAATAATAATAATAATAATAATAATAAGAAAGGAGAAAAAAGAAAGATTCTATAGACAGAACAAGATCTTTCAAAATGCAAAAGAAATTTTACAGGGAAATAGGTAAACAAAGAATATGACAGTCCCCCTAAAATGGAAGAAGTTATACAGTTCTGGGTATGTGTGCCCTAAAAGAACACAAACGAAGAGGCAGATTGATTGCGCAAGAGTTAGAACGAATGAAAAATAAACCAGAACAGACATGGGCGGGAATCACAGAAGAAGGGCACTGAAAAAAGAAAGAAATCCAGGAATAGATAAAATTCTAAGGCTATATTATTTTACAGCACAAAAAAAACTCGCCAAAGAAAAGAAATGGTTACCGATCCAACTAAAAATGGATGACCAAAGGAGTTACCTTTCTTCTACCCAAAAATAGTGACACAAATATTCCGAAAACTATAGACCAAAATGTCTTCCAACAACATACAAACTGTTAACATCTATTTTAACAAAAAGACATATTTTTCTGAAAGAAATGATTTATCTGAATTGTGCAAAGAGCTACGGGTAATGATTAATGGTTATTGCCTGGATAGAAAATTATTCGATATACCACATTCCATAAAGTCTTTAACATACATATCACCCGTTATCATATTTCATCAAACAATGTATGTCGATATGGAAAATACACTTTACCTCAATCATAAAAATATAATATATATATGGAATATTTCAATTCTTTGTCTCCTTTATTATTTTTATTTTTTCATTATTTTCTATAGTTAACCAGCCAACTTAACAAGACAGAATGCGGTTACAAAATTGAAAATAAAAATTTTCATGGATGACTTAAAATTGTATTAGGAATAAATTGGAATTTTAAAATTTCAGTAATTGAATGAAATAAATATCAGTTTTCGAGGATCTACAACAAATTCCTATTAGTTTAGACCCTGCTGTAACAATAAAAGATTTAGAACAAGGAGAAGCTTATAATATATAAATATATATGAAAGATATATATATATATATTAAAACTGAATTGAATTCTTATTAATAACCTTGTTTTCCAATATATTCAACATCTTGAACTTGATCTGACATCAGACAAAATTAAAATTTGCATCACTGTCGTCATACATGTGTACTTATTCAAGAATTGTCATACAAGACAACAAAGTTTTAATTTGGAAACAACAAATGACTGGATGATTTAGTGAAACAACATGAAAACAGAAAGAAAAAAATATTTGATATCATTTACGTAGATTTTATAAAGCAGCAAAAGATTTGAACAGATGAAACAACGCTGGCAAGACAAACCTCTACCAATATCCAGAACAAATAAACCCAATGTTGATAAAGTTAATACTCATCGATGGTTACGAGCATCTGGATTAAAGTGAACTTTATTCTTACCACTAGAATTTTACTACTACTGGATCCAAAATGCAGGTTCTGTGACAAATACCAAAACAATACATAATCAGGAATACTTGCCCCAAATGAAATAAAAAATACGATAAGTGGGGCAAACTTAATGACAATGCAAAACTTTGGAAAATACAACTGGTATGAAAACGGTTACAGAAATAGAAGAGATCTATGGGAGATATCCACACAGACAAAAAATGAAGTGGCGGACATTATTAAAAAAACCAGAAAAAAAAAAACCTAAAACTGTTCTTGCAACCAAGGAATTTGAAAACTGAAAACAATCGATTGGAGAACCTGGAAATTGAAAATTTGGGAATTATAAAAATCATTGAAAAAATCCCGGAAACCCCAGCTTAAAAGACATACAGAAAATTGTCTTATTAAGTACAACTCAGGAGAACTTTGCAAATCGGAGATAAAAAAAAAAAAAAAAAAAAAAAATTAACCCTGGTAACAACACACCACGACCTGCCTTATCTTTATCAGACAGATGTCCATAGTAGAAATCGAATGATGATTTAATAATAATAATAAATCCTCAAATACAACAAAAAAGAGATCGAGATATAAAAAATGTGTTCGATTGGAGCTTTGGGTCAAACACAGCAAATCAAAAATCCTGCGATGACGTCTTTTTCCAATTAAAACCAGAAACAAACAAGCTCATATTTTTGTTAATAGCTTTTTTTGTTTAATTAAGTGGAAAACAACAAAAATATCACATCCTTTGCTTGCCCCCAGTCATTGGTTATGACCCGACATGTAATTATAAAAAAAATGCAGGTTAAAAAGAATTTAAATAATAATAATAATAATAATAATAATAATAATTTCAAAAGATACGGTCAGAAAAAATTCACAGCCGGGTGTTACTCTTAAAGGAGACCGGGATTATTACCTTCTTGACTTTCCTTGTTCGTCTGATACCTGAGAAGTCGAGAGAGAAGAACAGAAAGTTGAGAACTATAGAAATACGAATATGGAATTATTAAACGATAGAGATTGTGCTTATTGTAATTGGAACATTAAGAACAGTGTTGAAAGTATTAGATTTATTAGTGAGCTTTTATGTGTTCGTTTACTTGGCACAGAAAAGTACTGGATATCTAAGGCTGTAGGATATAGCATAATATCTAATAATTGCAAAAGCAGCTAATAACATCCAAGAAGCTGTGCAAAAAGACAATTAATAATAATAAATACAATAAACAAAATATTTAATGGCCACAGGTATGCCATTCGACACAAAAATGTGACATCCCCAGAACTTACGGAAAATTTTATCATGAACAACTCTAATTTCAACGAACACCTTAAGGTACACATTCTGAAAAATATCCAGACTCCACCGACCTTTCAACCCTTAAAACGCATGAAGATAATTACATATGCAAATTACTAACGTCCCACCCCAGGGGTAGAAGAATTAACAAAATGACAGGAACCTTCCATAAGTTCTAATTGTTCTCACTAACTAATCAACTAATCGAAAATTTCAAGATGAGGACGACCCCCATCATGTTACACACGTTTAAGTTGCATTCCATTCATGCTAATCATTAAATACCGCATGAGATCTGACCCAGAAAAAGATCATGAAAATAATGATAATAAAATATCTCTTAATCTTTATTTACATTATTTACTATTGTCCTCATCTTTGTTGCCATATTTATCACAACGTTTCGGCCGTTGTACGCTCCGGCCTTCTTCAGGTGGTTGGAATGTCGAACTAGACCCTTTATTTCGCTCACTGGGATAGACTGCTCTAGTTCTACGGCACAGTGGATAAAGGCGTTGGGTAGATCCAGTGACAGGACCCAAAAAGTGTGAGTTCAATACCCGGTTAAGGCAGTGGAGAACTTTCAGAGGGAAATTAACAGGAGATAACTGATAACTGACATCCATCAAACATGGCACGTGGAACTAGAACAGTCTACCCCAGTGAGCGAAATAAAGGGTTCAGTTCGACATTCCAACCACCTGAAGAAGGCCGGAGCGTACAACGTCCGAAATGTTGTAATAAATATGGCGACAAAGATGAGGACAATAGTCCGAATAATGTAAATAATGTTATTGTTGTTAATCGCTTACTGTGTCAGTAAGATCCCTTTTTATCGTTTCACGTCAAATAAGGCGATAATGCTACTAGGACGCAAGGAGTTACAGGGAGTGAAAGAGAATGAAAAGGCTTTAGTGAAGAGAAGTGAGGAAAAGGGCAAAGAAAACAGTGCTAAGGAAGACAGAAGATGGCGATTGATTTTGAAGATTGTAGGCGACAGGGAAGTCAAAAATTGGAAGGGTGAGAGGTGCGATAAAAGAAATTGTTAGAATAGAAGTGGCGGTTGCATTTAATTAAGTTCAACAGTAAAATACTGAGACCTAGTTGCCAATCGAGTAGCAAATTTAAATTCATGTAAACGAAGCACCGGAGAAAAAAAAAGCTCATCAGAACAGCAGCTATGAAAACATTTGTAGAAAAGACAGAAAGAAGCCACGTCACGCCGATGAGAAAGTAACTGCAATCGAGATTGGTGAGAACGAACCTTCTATCCGCCACATAACACTTATTACAATCTATTGTTATAATTGTTCTATTTAATTATTAGTCATTGTTGCTAATCTCTTATTGTGTCTAGTTATAATTTCAACTCTTATACAACAGTATATGCATAAGAAAAAATTAAGAATTTTGCCAGGACTCTTGGACGATATTCCTCGCGGTAAAGAAGACCATTAAAATAAAAACTAATCATAATTTGATTTACCATTTTCCTTCGTAGGATCGAACTCGAGATGAAACTTTTATTAACTTTTCGTACACATTGCATTATTTCCAAGAAGTAACTCACTCCCAACCTAACCTCGTGTGTAGCTCGACTGGCAGCTCAATCATATTTCGCTCAAAATCACATTAGGACAGTGTGATTTGAAACAATCCAAATCGGCCAATCACGTCTAATCCGATTATGCTGTCACCAGTTTTGGTTTTAATTTGATGGTCTCGACATGCGCACGCCACTACCTCTTCGAAAATGTTGTTCGTTTTTGACTCCAGACACAGGAGAGCATTGACGTGAGCTGTCATAAGTCATAAAGCTAAGGGCGGCGGGAAAGTTTGGTAATAAAGCATATCAATTATCTCATGAAAATAAATAAATGAGAATGAAAACAATGAGAGGAAATAATAATAATAATAAAAAAAAAAAAAACAATCAAAGGAATAGGAACGGAGTTCGCGAAGGAAATAGAGACGAGGACAACCATAAAAGATATAAGGAGAAAAGAAGAGAAAAAGACGAGAAAAGAAATATGACAGGAGCTGCTAAGAAATAAGAAAAGAAGAAGAATGAAAAGTGCATTGAGAGAAGAGAAAAGCACAAAGAAGACGTAGAAAGGAAGAAGAAACAGAAAAAAGAAAGAATGAAAGGAAGAAAAGAAAGAATTAAAAAGAAAGAATGAAAGGAAAGAAAGAAAAAAGAAAAGTGAAGAAAGTAGAAAGTAAAAAGAAAAAGAAAGAAAGAATAAAAGGAAGAACAGAGAGAAATAAAGAAAGAAGAAGAAAGAAAAAACAGCAAAGAATGGAAAGAAAGAATGGAAAGAATGGAAAGAAAGAAAGAAAAAAGAAAGGTGGTTGGAAAAGAAGTAAAAAGGAAATAATTATAAATAATAAAAAAAGAGAGAGAGAGAGAGAGAGAGAGAGAGAGAGAGAGAGGAAAGGAAGAAATTGTGGGTGAAAAATAAAAAAAAAACAACAGTAAATGAGAATCCCTCATTCTCATCTGTTGTTTTTTTTTATTTTATTTGTCAACGAATATGAAATAAAGAAGGAAAATAACAAAAAGAAATTTGCGAAGAAAAGTAAAAAGTCGTGGAAAAATTAGGATAGGCCAGGATAAAATGAGAAAGAACAAGAGAATGAGGAAGAATAGAAAGAAAATAAATTGTTTCAAAAGAAGAAAGCGAAGAAGAAGAAGTAAAAGTAGAAGAAGAAACAAAATAAAATTGCGATAAAAATAAATCAGCGATATTATATGATAATAGCAATAATAAAAATATCTCATTCATTCAGAAAAAAAGATGAAGTAAAAAAGAGAGACAAATAATTTGAAGAAAGAGGCGAAATTGTAACTTTTATCATAAGTGAATGACAGGAAAACATATAAAAGCAAGAACGACAAAGTGGGAAGAGTTATACACTGGAAAATGTCCAAAATGTTGGGTTACTATATAAACAAATGTTAAGAGAACAAACTAAAGTTAATTCTAGAAAACTGGAAAAAATACTTTTTTTTTAAAATCTGGACAAACTACCACATCGATACAAAAAAACAAAAACAAAAAACAAAACAAAAAAAAACCAAAACGGATTTAGTTTTCGTGAACACGGAAAAGAGATTCTGCCGTATTATAAAATAAGAAGAAAAAGAAGAGGAAGAAGAAGAAGAAAAGAAGAAGAAGAAAAAGAAGGAAGGAGGGGCGATGAAGTGACGAAAGAGGACATATGAAACAAAGTTATAGAAAGAAGGAAGGGAAGGAAGGAACAAAAGAAAAGAAAAGAAAAAAAAGAGGAAAAAAACAGATTTAATTTTTGTGAACACGGAAAAGAGATTCCGCCGTATAATAGAATAAGAAGAAAAGGAAGAAGAAGGCAAAGAAGGAAAAGAAAAAAAGAACAAGAAAAAAAAGGAAAGAAGAAAAAGGAGAAGAAGTAGTAGTAGTCGTAGAAGAAGAAGAAGAAGAAGGGCAAGAAGAAGAACAAGAAGTAGAAGTAGAACAAGAAGAAGGAGGAGGAGGAGAAGAAGAAGGAGGACAAGAAGAAGAATAAGAAGAAGGAGGGAGGAGGGAGACAAGAAGAAGAAGAACAAAAAGAAGAACAAGAAGAAGGAGGAGGAGGAGGGGAGGAAGAAGAAAAAGAAGGAGAACAAGGAGGAGAAGGACAAGAAGAAGAAGAAGAAGGAGGAGGAGGAGGAGAAGAAGAAGGAGGAGGAGAAGGAAAGAAGAAGAAGAAGGAGAAGAGGGACAAGAAAAAGAACAAGAAGAAGGAGAATAATAATAATAAGAAGAAGAATAAAAAGAAGAAGACGGAGGAGGAGGAGGAGGAGAAGAAGAAGAAGAAGAAGAAGAAGAGGCCCTGACAAATGAAAAGTGAAAAATAAAACGCGAATTAAACGATTATTACGACAAAACACAGAATAATGAAACAAAATTGTAAAAATGATTTTCCTGGAAGTAGCGGAGGGTTAGTGTTAGAGTTATGATATGGTCGTGCCATTAATAACAGCAGCACTAGAAACGATGTCAAAAGCACTAGAAAGAGGAAAGTAGTTCATGAGGCAAAAGAAGAAAAATAGAGAAAATAAAAAGCATAAAAGATGGAAAGCGAAAAGAAAAAAAAAAAGAGCAGAAAAGAAAATGAAGGAAAAAGGAGGAACTATGAAATGTGAAAATAAGACATATGAATAGTGCATCGGGAGAAGAGAAGAGGACAAAGAGGAAGAAAGAAGGAAGGAAGAGAAGAGAAAAGAACGAGAAAGGGAAAATGAAAGAGGATGAGTAGGAGCAATGAAATGAAGAGAGATGGCATATGAATAGTGCATTAGGAGAAGAGAAGAGAACAACAAATAGATAGAAAGAATGAAGCGAAATGAGGAAGAAAGAAAAGAAGAAAAAGAAGGAAAAAAGAGAAAAGAAAAAGAAGGAAGGAGAAAGAGGTGTCATGAAATGAAGAAAGAAGACATATGAATAGTGCACTGGGAGAAGAAGAGAACAAAGAGGTAGAAAGAAAGAAGAAAGAATAGAAAAGAAGAGAAAAGAACGAGAAAAGGAAAATGAAGGAGGAGGAACAATGAAGTGAAGAAAGAAGACATATGAATAGTGCATCGAGAAAAGAGAAGAACAAAGGTATATAAAGAAAGAAGGGAGAAAGGAAAAGAAAAAAGAAGGAAGAAGAAGAAAGAGAAAAGAAAAATGAAAGAAGAGAAAGAGGAGCTATGAAGTGAAGAAAAAAAGACGTATGAATCGTGCAACGAGAAGAGAGAAAAAAGACGTAGAAAGAAAGAAGGAAGAGAAGGAAAAGCAGAAAAAGAAAATGGAAGAAGAAAATGAATGAGTTATGAAATGGAGAAAGAAGCCGTATGGGCAGATGATCAGGAGAAGAGGAGAACAAAGGGGTAGAAAGAAGGAAAGAAAAGAAGAAAGATGTTACCATAATAATTACTTGAGGTAGGTCCTGAGGCCCAACGGCCATAACATTGCGATAAAAATAACAAAGATGAGGATAACAGTTCGAATGTAAATGATATCAAGAGCAATGAGTAGTCATATACTAAGAATTGTTTCGTCGACTTCCCTTTTTCTGAGATACGTGTACACATGGGGGTACGCGGGTAAAAAAGGGATACGCAATCAAATTTATTGTGCTCTCAGTATTTTCACCATTTTTTATAATTCTTTTGAACAGTAGTAGAGGTTTATCACTTGTTACATGTTTAGGATAGTGTTTCCGGTTCCTTCTAACGTCTCCATCTAAACACTAATTTTATTTACTATCTGGAGGCCGCCGAAGTAAATTTTTTTTATCCTCTCCTTACTTGCTTTCCTTACTTGAGTGAACATATTACATTAGTGGTGGTTGGGAATATCCATGAAATCAGGGGCTTTTTAACTCTGAAGCATTTGGTTTTGTTACAGGATCATTTGGGTTTGTATGAATTTGATTATCAACTCTTTCAAATTAATCCCAGATCTCTTACAACAATTTGCAAAATAAATTTGTAAGATTTTTAAACTACTCTGTGGCTAAATATCTTTTTGGAATATCTCCTCTACCAAGGTCTTAGCAAGTTTATCAAGAAATCATACCTATCTGCGTTAAAAAAAAAAAGTGTGGAAAGTCTTTTACTGTTCCCCACCACTTACTGTTGTAAACAAGGTTTTTACATGAATGTGTAAGAGTAAAACCAAATTTCATGCAAAACTATCAAATGAAATTATATGAGGGTCTCTTTCACAAACAGATCCCAGAATTGATTTAATTTTTGAAAAGAGCCAACCTCAGCCATCTGATTAAATGGTCAAAAACAAATTTCATGCAAATCTATCAAATGAAAATACACCTGAGTCTCTTTCGGAAATAGTTCCCAGAATTGATTTAATTTTTGAAGACAGATAACCTCATCCATTAAATGTATAACAATGCTTTGAATAAAATTATAAACAAATATTACTTGTTTGTTATTCTATTCTATGGTATCCATACATTTTATACCATCTTATTCTCAAAATGTCGACCAACACAATTAGATAGGATGAAAGGGTATATGGGAGGGGAAAAGTTTAACACTTCCTGATTTAAAGGTACTTGATCTAATAAGCCTATTGGAAATTGCCTGAAGATTGAGTTTAAGCATGAAACAGACTGTCGTCGCTCGGTGTTGACCACTTTGTCCACTTTCATATTTTCTTATGTTATATCCATAACATAGAGAAGAAGCGGATTAGAGAAGATTAGGGAAGAAAGTTAGAAGAGGAGGAGGAAAAGAAGAAGAAGATTAGAGAAGAAAAAGATTAGAGAAGAAAATTAAAGAAGGAGGTTGAACAGAAGAAGATTAAACAAGGAAATTAGAAGAAGAAGATTAGAGAAAAGAAAGATTAGAGAATGAAATTAGAGGAAGGAAGGGAAAGAAGACTCGAGAAGAAAATTAGGAGAGCAGGAGGGGAAGTTGAAATAAAAGAAGAAGATTAAAGGAGAAGGAGGAAAAGAAGAAAATTGAACAAGAAAGTTTGAAAAGAAGAAGAAAAAAATAGGGGAGGCGGAGGAAAGAAGAAGATTAGAGAAGAAAAAGATTAGAGAGAAGAAGAAGAAGAAGAAGAAGAAGAAGAAGAAGAAGAAGAAGAAGAAGAAAAATTAGAGGAGGCGGAGGAAAGAAAAGATTAGGGAAGAAAAAGATTAGAGTTGAAAATTAGAAGAAGAAGAAGAAGAAGAAGAAGAAGAAGAAGAAGAAGAAGAAGAAGAAAATTAGAGGAGGCGGAGGAAAAGAGGAAGAAAAAGCGGTAGCAGAAGATTAGTGACGAATATAGAAGAAGAAGCTTCTGCATATTAATAATAAAAAAAGCATAAAAAATCTCCTCAAAAATAAAAAATAAAAACAAACAAAATTTCAAGAAACTAATGATTGAAAGAAAGGAAAGCAACTCTGTGTTAACATCAATGGCGTTAACAAAGCGACCACTATGTTTTACGCGCCCGGCACAAAACCGTTCGAATACAGTAGTTATTAATGATGGGCAAAGTATAAGGCGTGGCAATTTCCGGGGTCTTCAACTCTTTACGCCCTTTACAGAAAAGATAATAATTAACTCCGTGATCTTTGGAATGATGGCAACAAAGATGTCGGCACTCAGTCTATAAGAAATAACGTTTCTATTCTATCTTTATTTCTTAATTTATTTTTTTATTGTTAGTATTGATATTAATTAAAGTGAACTAAATATGGCAAATGAACAATTGCCGGGAAATGTAAATCGGGTAATTGTGTTGCTTCATACGGGTATTTGGCTTTGAAAATCAGTATTCGAAATCATGTTCATAACTACCTTAACTCTTAGCCAAGCCCCTATGTATACTTACTATAGTTAGTGTATTCTGGTATAAGGTCACAAAAGTATGAAACCTTTGAAGATCAAGCGCTCTAAAGCAGCTGTCTATCAAACCAGCTTGTTAACCATCACTTTACGACTGACATTATTCTCCAGTTAAGCTAAAGTAATGAATGATTGTGTTTAAATAATCCGTGACTTCACGAATAAACAAAATATTTAATAATTCCTGCCCCTTATCGGACCAGATTGTCATCAAACAACACATTAATAAACAGCGTAAGGATAATGATGACATTAGACAGCTACGCACAAACACTACCATAATGTCGACAAAATCAAATAGTAAAAACAGCTTAATCCTTATGTGTGTGTGTGTGTGCGTGTAAATATAAAATTGTGCGTATGAGGTGAAGGTCGAATTAATAGAGACCTTTCATGTCTATCTAAACGTGTGCCACACACACACACACACACACACACACACACACACACACACACATATATATATATATATATATATATATATATATATATATTACAGCAAAAAAATTACCTCAACATAGAGTTGTCTATATATGCTCTGTTAAAATAAAAACATCGAGCTCTCTGTGGATCAGTTTTAATAATTAATATTACTAGGATCCACCCGGATTATATACCAACGGATCGATTACCTGTACTCTATCTATCGATCTCTCTCTCTATATATATATGTTAAAAAATGGACAAGGCCCGACAATTTATTTATTAAAGACACTTTTATGTTTAACGTTGTTATTTATAGATACAAGTATTTAAGCAAATGCTCTGTTTATGATAAACAGTATTAAATAACATTTACCGGCCTGAATGTCCGAGAAATTTTCATAGAAAATATTCGTTCTTTGACAGGATTCGAACCTGCATCCTATACGGAACCGTCATATACGCTGACGTGCCTTGACCGCTCGGCCACAAAGAACCTTACGGTAGATAAGGTCGAATTTACTGTTTATAAACTCCAATCTTCCATGAATCTCGTACATTCATAACTGCTCTTCAGGCCGGTAAATGTTATTTAATACTGTTTATCATAAACAGAGCATTTGCTTAAATACTTGTATCTATAAATAACAACGTTAAACATAAAAGTGTCTTTAATAATATATATATATATATATATATATATATATATATATATATATATATATTCAATGAAATTTCTCGGACATTCAGTCCGGTAAATGTTGTTAATAGTGTTAATTATAAACAACATTTACTTAAATATTTGTATGTATAAAAATAACGTATAAACAATATATATATATATATATATATATATATATATATGTATATGTGTGTGTGCATGCGTGTGTTAGTATATGAAGAAATGAATAACATGCAGCAAGCATTTATTAGCAAAACAAACACTTATTTCCGAAACAATAACTTTGACCTGCAAGTGAAATAGTTTGAAAGAATTACAGATAAACACCACAAACAATAAACTTAATATAGAAATTAAATCATTAATTTATTCTATTGTTACGAAATGCCTCTTAATTATAAACAAAATAACAAAGTCATCAAAAATATGATTCGCCCGCTTACATAACTTAATGAGTGTAATAAATACCTCCGTTTTCTCCTTCGCTATTAACAAAATTAACACACACATTTAAAACATCTGACCTCATTATTTCTAGTAATATGAGACCTCAGTATCCGCTTTATGTAACAACATTATTGTTTATTAAGTTTTGTGCCCTAGGAGGCGTTGCTAACAGTAAGTTATGTACCATGCATGATACACGATTAGGCGATCATGTATCTTTCGATACATGACTGACTAGGCAGATTTTTCTCCGCAGTAGGTTGCCATTTCTTTCTGCGGTAGTTGGCATCCAGGCTATAGAACCTGGACTGTCCTGCTGTTTTAAGATTTACTGATTTATTCTTAATAAAATATTACAAAGACTGGTGACTTATTTCGAAAATAGTTTATTATATATTTTAATAACTGTTGTGGTGTCCTCCCTCTTAAGAATCTATGTTAGACTCTTCCGTCTACTATAAATTTAGTAGGAGAGAAGGAACAGTGGACAGATTGAGCGCTAGTTCATTCGATACACTCTCACTAGTCGTGTAATAACTGATCTGGTGTACTTACTGTTTAATATACGATATATCTGCAAATCTGTTTTTTTTTTATTACTTAACTATTTACTTGGTCACAACATTAACAATGACTATGCATAAAGTATAAAATAGATCGATTTCAGTCATTGAATTATGAGAAATAACTTTATTCAATTTCTAGCAAGTCCATGTTAAAGGCAACATCCTCTGCTTGGATATCACGCTACCAAAGAATTTATTGTCCAGCATTCTCGCGCAGTTACGACTTAAGGTATCACCGTCCATGTCTTGAAATTTGCGTGCCAGTTCCTGGCCTCTTTTTATTCTTTCGCTCACTTTCCTCTGAAAGTGCTTAGTGCTTGTCTTAAGCGTAAAGTTATGCGTGTGTGTGTATCTTGCGGTCGGATTATCCTTGCCATTGTTCCCCCCTAAGAAGATTAACGGCGTGTGATCTGATCCTTGGAGATCAGATCAAAGTACACCTCCCGC